CTTCCAAATGATGATATTTTTAATGAATAGTTTAGGTCAATTGGTTATCCATGTGGGAGGTTAATAAAACTTGACATCTATTTGCAATGTTTCCTTTAAGGTAGACCTAATGGCTAGGGTAGCTTTTACTCATCATTCAATGATCACTAAATAACATTTATAACTATTTAAATTTATCTCACTTACTTGATTGCTTTTTAATTATTTTTCCTACTCCCACTACAATATTAAGTCCATAAGAGCAACAATTTGTCAATTCTGCTAATCATTTTACCTGCTGTATCCAGAACATTTCCTGGCACTATTATAAGTCTTTGAGTGGAAAAAAAATGAACATATAAATCTGCCAGAAAATTAGGAATGAAAATAACAGATAATCCTTTGATCTAGCACAGAGAGGTTGAGAAGAGTTTTCTTGTGAGCGCCTGGGAGGGGGTAATAGTTTGGAGCATATTCCAGATGGAAAGCATAGCAAATGCAGAAGGCAAAATAGATGTGTGGGAGGATATGACAGGGTGACTTTCTAAGTGGGTTATTACCGTATGTAGTAAATGGAAATGTTTATTTAAAATAAAGGCAGTCTTATTTATTAAGTGACAAGCCTCAGATCACTTGCATTATTTTCTCTTTATTTTATGTGTGAAAAAAACTTGTTTTCCCACTAAAATGTCAACTCCAGATCCTAAAACTGGTCGCTTCTCCATCCCCAACTCTCAACCTTCTTCAGTTTAGGGCTGCACAAACTGATATTGTTCAACACTCACATACATTACTTGGTATTATGTAAGTCTGGTTTCTTAAGTATGTGCATCATGCTAGCCTAAGTTTGTTTGTTAATACAGATTCACGGGCTCTCCTTTTAAAAGATTAAAACAGTAAGTCTGGACTAACTAGACAGCTAACTCCCCAGGTCAATCAGAAACACAGCAGACATGGGAACTACCACGTATTAATGTGAACCCCTTACTAACTAAAGTATGGTTCACCTACAGCATTGGTATCACCTAAAAACTTGTTAGAAATCCTGAATTTTAAGCTCTACCCTGGAAACACTGCATTGGAATCTGAACTTTTACAAGATCCTAGATAATTTATATAAACTTTAAAAAAACATTTATTGTGGCAACATGAAACTTACCTCCTTAACAAATTTTTAATTATGCAGTTTGTTAACTATAGGCACAATGGTGCACAGATCTCTAGAGTGTATTCATCTTTCATAACCAAAACTTGTATCCATTCATAAGCAATTTCCCATATTTCTCCCTGCCCCCAGACCCTGGAAACCACCATTTCACTCTCTGATGCTATGAGTTTGACTATTTTAGATACATTATATATGTAGACTCATGCAGAATTTGTCCTTCTGTGTCTGGCTTATTTCACTTAGTGTAACATCTTCAAGGTACATCCACGTTTTCATGTATTGTGAGATTTCCTCATATTGTAAGGCAGAATTTTTCATTGTATGGAGATAACTATTATATATATGAGGGGAGACCAAAAAACAGTATTTATTATAAAAATCATGTATTTAACTTCAGTCACCTTCAAAGTACTCTTCATTTGAAGCAATACACTTATCAATTTTTTTTCTAATGATGCTTTTTCCACTGATCCAAACCATCTTTTGAATTCATTAATTTTAATGCCTTTTTTTTTTTTTTGAATTGGAGTCTCACTTTGTCGCCCAGACTGGAGTGCAGTGGCCACTACCGGTCACCGCAGCCTTGACCGGCTGGGCTCCAGCAATCCTTCTGCCTAAGCCTTCCAAGTAGCCAGAATTACAGGTATGCATTTTAATGCCTTTTAATTCTGCCGTTCACTTCTTCCACAAACTGTTTCCCTTTGAGGACTTTTTTCATTTGAAACAACAACAACAAAAAGTCGACTGGGGCAAAATCAGGTAAATAGGGAGGGTGGGGCATGGGGTCATGCTGTTTTGGGTCAAAAACTGCTAAACACTCAGTATGGTTTAGGCAGGTGCATTGTTATGGTAGAAGAATTAGTCACCTGCTTGCCACAATTCAGAACACTTCTTCCTTTCACAAATTGTGACACAACCTTCTCAAAACTTCCAGATAAAAACTTTGACCATTTGATCTAGAGGAACAAATTCTGTGTGTACTGCAAGGTGCTCATCATCCAAAAAGATAAGATAATTCTGGGTTTTTAGGTTCCCCCCATACACACACACACACACACACACACACACACACACACAGAGAGAGAGAGAGAGAGAGAGAGAGAGAGAGAGAGAGAGAGAGAAAGTGTTGGTGAAAATGCAGATACATTGGAACTCTTGTATACACTATTGGTGGAAATGTAAAATGGTGCAGTCACTACAGAAAACAGTATAGAGGTTACCCCAAAAATAAAAAATGGAGCTACCACATGATCCAGCAATCCCACTTGTGGATATTTATTCAAAAGAATTGAAACTAGACTCTCTAAGAGATATTAACATGTCAATGTTCATTACAACACAATTCATAATAGCCAAGGTGTAGAAATAATCTACATTTCTATGGAAGAATGAATGTATTTTTTAAAATGTAGTATACTGTATACATATTAACTATTAAGTTCAAGAAGCAAGTTCTGATCCAAACCATTGTTCTTCTAGACCCTCAGCAGCAGTATCACGTGGGAACTTTTTTACAAACGCAGATTATTTGCTTCAACTCAGATCTGAATCAAAACCCCTCTGATGTGGGTCCAGTAATCCATTTTAACAAGCCCTTAACATTCAACTTTGAGAACTACTGATCTAAACCATTATCCTGTCTAGTTTGAGAACCATTGATCCAAGCTTCGATTCTGCCTTTAGCGGTGACCATTTCTAATATTAAATTATCTGCAGCATATGATTTTTAGCACCACAGTTCTAAAATCAGTGGAAATTCAGGAGGGCTAAAGAAAAAGGAACCAATATAAAACCTGTGGTATTGTTCCCAGATAAACTAGTCCAGCTGCTTCCCTCACAGTCAATAAAAGAGAGGCTGAAACTGGGAGGAAAGGGAATTTATTTCTGCAACCAGGTTATGGGGAGACAGGTAGTATTATAACCAAAACTTGCTCAAAGGCAGTCAAACTTAGTTCAGTATTTATACTTCCATAGCCCCTCACCCACCCGCAAAGCTGAATCAACAAGATGTAAGGACAATTTCAGAATGATCCAAGATCTTCTACATGCTGGCATTTCCTTGTACATAAAATTTTATGGTTTTTTAAGCAGGTGTGGAAAGTTAAAACAACCAAAGAAGCTACCTTGGTAAATTAAGTTAAACAATTTTGGATCAAATATGAGTAGTGCAAGAAACCCTCTTCCCAAAACGTTGGCCTATAAAAGTATTACATACCTATGGAAAAAAATGATGCCTTTTTGGGAAGAACTGAAGAACTTCCTCTTTTCCCAAGCTGAAGACAGGTTTGGAAAGGCATGAGAGCCGTGTGCTGGTTGGCTATACTTGCTTAAAAAACAAATCCATGTTTTTTCAATAACTATTCTAGAAAAGGTTTTACTCCCACCTTGACGCCACCTCCACCTCTGAAAAACACTTTTCAATAATTGTCAATTAGAGTGAGGCTAGCAGGATAAGCAGATGCTTTAGTTTATTTAAGGAAGCTACCACAGGATATCAGCTCCAGGTATTTCTAAATATTAAGGCAATGAGGTGCCTCCCTCAATTTTATACATAAAGAAATAAGGAAAGGCTCCCTATGTTTCTTTTTAAAAACGAAAACCTATTCTATTACTTTTCAATTTCCTAGGATTTATATTAGAGCCTTTATATCTATCCTAAACACTACCAGCCAAAGGCTTAAAAGCCTAACTTGTAAGGAAAGTGAAATAAGATGTGTTTAGAGACTCTGAGTCTTCTTTCTCTAACTCACTCCTTCATTTAAATACTAAAGCATTAATAGTTTTTTTTTTTAAAGACAGTTATATTTATTTGGTTTTGTTGTAGTGAAATAGTTAATACAGTTAAGCAAATTAATACCCTTCATTTCACATAGATACCTATTTGTTAAGGGTAAGAATGCCTAAAATGTACTCTCTTTGCAAATTTCTAGCTTACAATAAAATATTATTAACTATAACCCTCATGCCCTACATTAGATCTCCAGACTTGCTCATCCTTCATAATTTCAGCTATGTACACTTTGACCTACATCTCCCCCGTTTCCTCCCTGCTCCTGGTGACCTCCACTGCTGGGTGTTTTGATACCTTAGCTACTGTGAATAATGCTGCAATGAACTTGAGAGTCAGATATTTCTATCAGATACTAATTTCATTTCCTCTGGATAGATACCCAGAAGAAGGATAACTGGGTTGTCTCCAGACATTGTCCTAGTAATGATAAAAGCAATTTTTTCTCGAATACCTGTTGAAAAATCATGAATGTGTCCCTAAGAAAGTATGGTCAATCAGTACATGGCTATCGTGCCCTTCCAAACCTATCTTCAACTTGGGGAAAGTGGACATCTCTTAATTCTTTCCAGAAGAGCATCATTTTGTCCGCTATATACATAATACAATCGCTTTTGTTGTTGTTTGTGTTTTTTGGTTCTTTCTCTAGCCCTCCTGAATTTCCACTGACTTTAGAAGGAGACTTGTGGTGCTAAAAATCATATGCTGTGAATAACTGAAAATTAGAAATAGTCACTGCTAAAGGCAGAATAAAGGCTTGGATCAATGGTTCTCAAATTAAAGTCAGGATAATGGTTTAGTTAGTTCAGTAGTTCTCAAAAGTGAACGTTAAGGGCTTGTGAAAATAGTCCTTTTGGCTATCATACCCAGGCAACAAAAGCAAAAATAGACAAGTGGGATTTTAGCAAATTAAAAAGCTTCTGCACACCAAAGGAAACAATCAACAAAATGAAAAATCTGTGAACCACATATCTGATACGGGGTTAATATTCAAACTATAAGGAGTTCACACAACTCAACAGCAACAAAACAAAACAAAAACTTGATTAACAAATAGGCAAAAAATATCTGAATGTACACTTTTCCAAAGAGGACATAAAAATGGCCAACAAGTATACGAAAAGGCCCTCAATATCACTTAACAAGGACATGCAAATCAAAACCATGCCAGACATATCACCCCACACCTGTTATGACGGCTATTATCAAAAAGATAAGAGATAACAAATGTCCCTAAGGGTGTGGAGAAAGGGAACCCCATTCACTGTTGGTGGGAACGCAAAGAGGTACAGCCTTTATGGAAAACCGCGGGGAAATCCTCAAAAAGTGAAAAGCAGAACTTCTGTAGGACCTGGCAGTCTCAGTCCTTGGCCAAGTTCAGAGTCATTCTGCCTCTCCCTTTCAAGTCCTAAATAAAGTGGGCTGCGAGAGCCGAAGGCAAGAGTGGCGAAGGAGGCCGATCCCCAGGCCTGCGCCGGCCAGGCTGGAGCCGGCCCCCAGGCGGGCCAGCCCCGGGCAGCAGCCGGCTCCGTGGCCCAGGCCCTCTTCAGGCCCCCAGTGACGCTTTCGCCTCGCGACGGCTCGGCGGCCCCAGCAGGGGGCGGTCGGCCCGCCCTCGGCGCCGCGCGGGGCGGGGAGGAAGGGCCGACGGTCCCGGCCGGTCCTCCCCCGGCCAGCCCAGGCCCTGCCCCCGCCCCG